CTTATAGAATCACCCCTTTTCGACTCTAACACTTTTTCTCGGACACCCTGCATGTAAGTGTACATTATTATTTTTACGTAAATATTGCATATTGCTATTTTATATTATTTGAAAACGAGAAGTGCTTCTCGGAGCTTACAAAATAGAAAAACGTGAAACTGAATTCTCTATTTACGGACAAGTTGAAATCCGATGAAAGAACCATGCGTCACGATGAAACACGACACGTATGTGAATAAGTATAATCGAATATGTTTCAGATTCGAAAAATTGCCTCTTTGCTCGAGTCTGGAATTGTACATATTTTTCAATCATTAAGAACAGTAATAACGTAATGCAATCGCTGAATGTTCATTTTAAATGCAGGGACATGAAATTGTTCCTCAAATCTCTTTGTAAAATGATGTGTCAAAACATTGACACATGAAAACGCTTTATAAGTAAAAATGTGTTAATACCTCAAAACAGACTTAATAGCACCTGAGCATGCGTTTTACCATTAAATATCTCGTTTAAGTTGTGCGTTGTTAATTACAACTGAAAACTAGCATGATTTAATCGTATATTTATCCGTTTGGAGAACGTTTTCAAATGTACCATTTGTAATTTAATGTTATGGGCAGCAATCCATTTCGAATGAATATTTCTTAGATTCTTAATTTATTTAATAATGCTACACGTTTTTAGAATTTATTATTTCATAACATCCAGACGACTGTTTAAATTAGAGTCTTTGTCTCTGCATATTAGTCGTTTATCTGAAAAGAGACTGATGAACAATCTGAAAATGTCAACTTAGAAAAAGAATTAACGAGTTATGCTAGTCAATTCGGATATGCTCATTCTTATGATGTTCACGTGGGATAGAGACCTGAAGTATCTGAGACGCATTTTTATTTGTCGGTAATTGTCCATGTTAAAGAGATAATAACAGCCCTTGAGGGAGTTAGTCGCGCTAGTTACTCTCAATACCACTTTCAAGGAGTATATCTATACGTATTACACTCATCTTTTCATGAAAAGATGGAAGTTTAATTTAATTCGAGTCACTCTACAAACATAATTTCATTAATGTATAACTGAACTAATTATTATTGTGTTATTGTCAAAATAAACTTCAGGAAGTAGTGAAATCATAAAAAGTTCAATTCATATAGGATGTCCCAGAAAAAGTGTTAGAGCCGAAGAGAGGTGATTCTGTAAGTGTTTCTGAACAACAATTTCGTTTCTCAAAATGCAAAGTGAGGCATGGTTTTTAAATTATTAACGAAAACTACTGACCAATAAGACCGCGTGTAGGGTCTGAGCTGTACCACGGCCGAGCGTTACGATTTGAGCCAATCTACCCATGGCTAGGCGCGGGCTCTACGCGTGTTCTCATTGGTCACTGTTTTTCGTTAATAATTCAAAAACCATGGCTCATTTTGCATTTTACCAAAGGAAATTTTTGTTAAGAAATACCTCCAGAATCACCCCTTTTCGGCTCTAACACTTTTTCTGGGACACCCTGTATATATAAATATGGATGTTTGTTTGTATATGACTCATAGACTCCGAAACTGTTTGTCCGATCCACA